TGCTCTCGGAGGAGTAAGAAGCTTTCTTCTTTCTCTCCTGTCCTTCCTTATCTTCCCAGCTTTGCTGCTTGGAGCCTTCTCTACATTTTCCTCTTATGGATATTTTTATTTTTATGGATTTGGTTAGCTGGTCTCTTAATAAATTTTTGGAAAAAGGTTTTCTTCCATGGGTGGACATTTCAATGGTGGGACCTCTGTTATGCTCTGTTCTGGATATATATTTGGGTGGCTTTTCATCTCCTGGCTGCCTGACCCAAATGAAGAAGGACTGCCATTATTTCAGCACTCAGACTCACGCTGTGTGCGAGCTGGAACTTGGTCTGCAAGCGGTTCTGAGGGTCGCAGGTCGGCTGTGGTTCCTGGACTTTGCTGGCCAGATAGAACTGATCTTGGAGAAGCTGATAGCTCAGCTCAGCGGGATTACCTACACTATTTGTCTGATTGGATTCGCCACGTTGGATGAACCAGTTGACATTAAAGCAGATGGAAAATTGTTATTGTCTGCCTGACCGAAAACATTTTCTTCTGTTCCCAAACAACTGATTACAGATTAGACTCTCCCTCCATGTGACCTTGAGAAGGCTGTGGAACTAAATTCCTCCAGGTGTTTACGTCGACGTGGCTCCCCCACCACCTTCCCCCCTCTCACTCCCGTCTAATCTGATAAGTTGAAGGACATTCATGGCTTCAGATACACGCTCTCAAAACTCACTTACTCCTCTGGCTAATAAATGTGCTGTTGCTTGTAGAGGTTGTTGTATAAGCACCATAGTGTGTCACCTTTTGTTGATATAATATGATGTTTTATTTTTTCACCCCTCATCTAACCTTCTGTGTTTTATTTTATTTTTTTTTCGTTTTTCTTTTTAAAAGTAGTTCAACCCCTGCTGGTTGCTGCATGACCTGATCACCTGTTCCCCTATGTTTTTTGTCATGTGTGTCTTCCTGAAATGGGAGTTCTTAAATGTAATTTCTTTGTGCTCCGTACAATGACAGTAAAGGCATCATCTTCATCAACAACAACAACATATGGAATTACCACTGGTCTGGCTGTGGGGTTTCATACGTACATAGGAACATCACTTAGTGGTGGGATTCTTTGGAAAAAACAAAAGTGTCAGTACAATTGAATTGTCTAAAATGCTTAAAACACTTCATCTTAGGGCCAAAAATATATAGCCTACTTTTTTGCACCAAAAATAAACCTTCAGACAGGAGAGAAATCTGGTTGTTGAAGAGCTTTTTAGAGAAAGAACCTTGAGAAAACTACAGGAAAACTGAAAAAAACTAGAAACGCTCAGAGAGTACAAACCTCCGCCAAGACCAATTTCCCCCATCCTGTAATAGAGTTACAAAGGGGCACACCAATACTACAGTGCCACCTGCTGGACACTTTGAAACCCACGCCCTGTGAAAGCATCACAGCTTTGCCGATGTCATAGTGTTAAAATAAAAAAAATTCCTGTATCCGCATCGTGATTCGGAATATCACCAAAATTTTAATGTGTGTTACTTGAGGCAGTACCTACATGTGGTAAAAATGTCATGACAATCCGTCCACAAGTTTTTGAGTAACATTGTCCACAGTCAGAACGACAGAATGACAGACCGACAGACAGACCGACAGACATACGTGACCTAAAACATTACCTCGCCCTTGGCGGAGGTAATGAACACAAAAGCCTATTCTTATACATGATTGTGAGCTTGTCAGATAAAAAGTGCATGAATGTCTAAAGAGGCCATGTGAGGTTTTGGTGGAACTGAACAAGGCGGCTTCCAGTATGGTTCTTCAGAATCATAAAGTAGAAAGACCTCAGATCCAAACCCAGAACCTTCTTGTTGTAAGGCAATAGTGCTAATCACTGATACTTTAAATACTTTTAAAGATAATAAATATTACAGCGGGTAAAATAAGTATTGAACACGTCACCATTTTTCTCAGTAAATATATTACTAGAGGTGCTAATGACATGAAATTTTCACCAGATGTTGGTAACAACCCAAGTGATCCATACATACAAAGAAATCAAACCATAAATGTCCAGAAATGAAGTTATTTGTAATAATGTGGAATGGCACAGGGAAAAAGTATTGAACACGCTTACTGAAATTTATCTAATACTTTGTACAAAAGCCTTTGTTGTCAATGACAGCTTCAAGACGCCTCCTGTATGGAGAAACTAGTGGCATGCATTGCTCAGGTGTGATTTTGGCCCATTCTTCCACACAAACAGTCTTCAAATCTTGAAGGTTTCGTGGACCTCTTCTATGAACTCTGATCTTTAGTTCTTTCCATAGATTTTCTGTTGGATTCAGGTCAGGTGATTGGCTGGGCCATTCCAGCAGCTTTAGTTTCTTTCTCTGAAACCAACTGAGAGTTTCCTTGGCTTTGTGTTTGGGCTCATTGTCTTGCTGAAATGTCCAGCCACGTTTCATCTTCATCATCCTGGTAGATGGAAGCAGATTTTTATCAAGAATGTCTCTGTACATTTTCCACTCATCCTTCCTTCAATTATTTGAAGTTTGCCAGTACCATATGCTGAAAAACAGCCCCACACCATGATGTTCCCACCTCCAAACTTCACTGTTGGTATGGTGTTTTTGGGCTGATGTGCAGTGCCATTTGACCTCCAAACATGAAGTGTATTCTGGCATCCAAACAGTTCAATGTTGGTCTCATCTGACCAGACTATATTCTCCCAGTATTACACAGGCTTGTTTAAATGTTGTGCAGCAAACTTTAAAGGAGCTTCAACATGCTGTTTCTTCAGCAGTGGAGTCTTGCGTGGTGAGCGTGCATACAGGCCATGGTGGTTCAGTGCATTACTTATTGTTTTCTTTGAAACAAACGTACCTGCTAATTCCAGGTCTTTCTGAAGCTCTCCACAAGTGGTCCTTGGTTCTTGGACAACTCTTCTGATAATTCTTTTCACTCCTCTGTCAGAAATCTTGTGAGCAGCACCTGGTCGTGGTCGGTTTATGGTGAAATAATGTTCTTTCCACTTCTGAATTATGGCCCCAACAGTGCTCACTGGAACCTTCAGAAGTTTAGACATTCTTCTGTAACCGATGCCATCATTATGCTTTGCAACAATAAGGTTGTGAAGGTCTTGAGAGAGCTCTTTACTTTTACCCATCATCAGATGGTTCTTGTGTGATACCTGGCCATCATTTGGGACTGAACCAGCTGATATTAACTTGCACTGACAAGGGGCAGGCTTGTTTTCTAATTACTGAGAGAGTTCAGCTGGTGTCTTGGCTTTCCATGCCTTTTTACACCTTCCTTTCTTCATGTGTTCAATACTTTTTCCCTGTGCCATTCCACATTATTACAAATAACCATTTCTGGACATTTATGGTTTGATTTCTTTGTATGTATGGATCACTTGGGTTGTTACTGACATCTGGTGAAAATTTCATGTCATTAGCAACTCTAGTAATATATTTACTGAGAAAGATGATGATGTGTTCAATACTTATTTTACCCACTGTATATTCTTCTTCTTCTTATACTATGCTAGTATTATTGTACTATAGTAGTGGCAGTCTAATTAACAACTGAATCAAATTTTGTATAATTCTAACAATAAAAGATATCTGCAGCATGATGTTTGAGTTCAAATCTTTCTTGATTTCAGCAAACAAAAACAGACATGTGGCTGTTAAATCAGAGACAAAGTCAGTCAGGGAGGAGACCAGCTGTGGTCTCATGTCATACAGCCAGCGTGTAATCAAGCAGCCAGGAAGCCAAGGTGATGACTACATTTCTCTTCTGTTTTTCTGCACAGTGCACGTTCTACCGACCACCAAGGCCAAAGAAAACATTTGGAGTTTGTTTGAAGGTAACTCACAATATTTTTAGCCTGGTTTTGTGCATGGGCACAATTGTGGTAAACTTTATAAGAAAAAAATAGCAAAACCAAAAACTGTAACAAGCATGGGGATGTTGTGTTTTTTGGACCATTGTGTGTATTTCAGATGTGTACCTGTGTGCAGTGCTGATCTGCTCTGTAGGTTTGCTGTGCATGTGTATGTTCACTGTGACGATGACCTGCCAGTTCATTCAGAGGAAGCAGAGGCTAAAAGGTCAGCAGTAACACCCGGTGGGAATTTACATTTTACTAAAGAAAAACAGTGTGATTGCTAAGAGCTAAAAGACTGCTGACAGTTTCTGAAATGCTAAAAATTTGTTAAAGCAACAGAACAGAAGCAAAAAATAAATAGAACACAAGCTAAACTAATCAAAACACAGCTACAAACAAGCTAAAAAGTAAATGCAGCAACTGTAGCTAGAAACAATAAAATAATTGCTAAAAGGTAAAAGCTAAACTGAAGCAGAACTAATTCTAAAATGAGTGAAACTGTAATTAAAAGTAGCAAAACAAAAAATGCTACGGCTAAAATTAGCTCATCTGTGAATAAAAGTACAATAAATACTAAAGATAAACTAAAATGAGAGAAAAGTATTGGATAAATTACAGCAGGAACTGAATTTGAATTGCTCAGATTGACTCTGAATTTACACAATTTGAAATTGAATGCATTGGTTTGAAAACTCATTTCACTAAACTGTGTGAATGTGTGAATGTCTGAAAGTGTAAAGTGCTTTGGGGTCCGGAGGAACTTGATAAAGCGCTCTATAAGTTCAGTCCGTTTACCATTTACCATTTAAATTCAATGCAGGGGGGACAGGGACTCTGACATGAACACAGCTCTTCCATGGGCAATGCTGTAAGCTCCTCCCCCGTCCCAAAGCACCGATACACGGCTCCGTCCTCACAGCCTCTCCCCTTTGATCAGACGCTGCTGTTGGCTGATCCATGATGTGATGTAAATGTAACATTTCCTATAGGTAAAATTAGTCACTGCAATAAAATAACTTTGTTTTTGTCACTTTACGGTGGGTTGCACCAAGTCTGTCAAACTGAATTTTTAATAAACCAAAATACATTTTCAAAGCAAATTAATTCAGATACAAAATTTTAAATTCAGTTTTAAACCATTAAATTCAGTTTCCATTTTGTGAAATTTACTTTCAAACCAATGCATTCAATTTCAAATTATGCACATTCAAATTCAATTACTGCTGGCACAAGATTTATCCCATAGAATGGCTAAAAACTAAAACAAGCAGAATGATGGTTAAAAGATAAAAATAGCACAAGTGTAGCTAAAACCTAAAGGTAGCAGAAGCTAGAAACAGCAGAATAGTGGCTAAAACATAGAAGGAGCAGAACAGATGATTAAATTAGAAAAACAGCTACTATCTGTCAAAAAGTAACTCCACCTAGCAAAACAAGTGCTAAAGTTAAAATAAGCAAAACAGCAGCTAAAAGAAGCAAATGTGTGGATAAATGTAGAAGAATAGTAGTTAAATCTCAAAGTAGCAAAACAATAGCTAAAAGCTACATGTGGACAAATGGTAACTAAAGTCAAACATGGCAGAACATTTGCTAAAAACTAGAGGTATCCAGATACCAGTTTTTCTTAAAATAAGTAATTCAGTTTGGTTACTCACCAATACAGAGTACTTAGTGAGTTAAAATTCTAACATTACACAGTGACTTTAAAAACCATTTATTTAAATCAGGACCAGGTGGCTCTCCTTCATAGGCCTTCCCCTCTGACTGGATCAAATCAAGTATACAGCATGATGGATACTGTTGCAAAATGTAAAAAATGTATATAAAATTATCAAATAAGCAAAGCTTTTCTTTCAACTTGTATAAATTTCTCAAACATGGAACTAACAAACTTTTCACTTGAAATGTAAATTCTAACACATTGAATGAAGTATTGACAACAGTAATGATAGTGGTATTGGTATCAGACTTGAGTTTACGGGTATTTTATACAAGTACATATACCAGTATCAATATCAGGACACACCACTGATAAAAACTAAAGGAGCATAAACAAATACAAATAGAACAAGAATCCTGAAGCAGGCTTCTAAGAGAAAATATTTTTGAGAAACTGAAGACAGTTCAGTTTTATTTTAAATGAAATAAATATTTTGTAAACCGTGAATGTTACAAAAAAACAAAAGTCAGCATATTATTCCAACTGTTTCAACAAATTAATTGTTAAAACAGGATTTTACATGTAGTAGTTTGATTGCAAATAATGTACAGATAAAACTATAAATAAGAAAACATGAGGTGAAAGCTGACTCAGCATTCACAGTTGTATCCCAACTCTTCCATTCAGGCATCTTTCTCTATATTCAGTTCATTTTTTACCAGCATTTCAACTTAGATGTGTTTTATCTGTTGCAGAAAAATACCACTTAGTGAAAAGTCCCCAGAACAGGTATGGTTTAAAGTCATTACTTCTCTCCAAACAAATATTCTGTTATCATATTATAGCCAATAAAATGTAGCTAAACTTGTACTTTCATTTTGTGTTTTCTCCAGTTCAGGAGAGACAGTCACCAATTTGGTCAGTGTCTCATCTGTTGTTCCTAAGGAGAGGAGATACAAGAAGAGAAAAAACAGAAAGTACCAGGAGCAGAAACCACCAGCGATACCAGCTAAAGGTAAACACAAACCATTTCTGCATTCATTGTTTAAAAGAAGGACATTATGCAAAACAGACTTTTTTGATCTTTCTAGCATGTTCTAATGCAGGGATGTCCAAACATTTTCCCTGAGAGGGCCAAAATTTAAAAAACGTTTTCCCTGAGAGGGCCAAACTTAAAATCAATCTGAGGGCTGTGGGCCAAATGCAATAATATAATACATGAAATGCAAATACGTAAGTAAGTAAGCAAGCAAGCAAGCAAGCCAGCCAGCTAGCCAGTCAGTCAGTAAGTAAGTGTTTTATTAATATAGCGCCTTCCATAGAAATACACTGCTCAAAAAAATAAAGGGAACACAAACAACGCACGCTAACTCCCGATCTTAATCAATGAAATATTCGCATTGAGTACTTTGTTTTGTACAGAGTTGAATGTGCTTCACAAAAGTTTGATTTAGTTGGACTTAGCGTGCGTTGTTTAAGTGTTCCCTTTATTTTTTNGACCAACACAAAGAGCTGCAGTACGTAAGTAAATAAAGTTTTATTTATATGGCACCTTTCATAGAAATATATTCACAAGGTGCTGTACAATCAGGAATTTTGATTCATTCATGATGCCTTTATTGTCATTGTATGGAGCACATGAAATTACAGTTAAAAACACCCATCCAAGAAGACACACATGACAAACATGGGGGAACAGGTGAACCGGTCATGCAGCAACAGAGTTGCGCTTTAACAGCTGGAAATACACAAAAGGAAAGTTGAGTTTAACCAACTCGTGAGAGAGCAAGTCAGTGGGGGCTTAAGTAAGATAACACAAGGAGAGGTAAGATGGGGTGGGTTCAGAGGAGTAGGTGACGTTGAGGCAGGGGGTCTGTGCTAGGACCCAACCCTGGCCCCCTCCAGAGTCCAGAGTCACATGATGTTATCATCTCTACTCAGTTCGCCAGAGTTCAGAGTTCCCTCGTCCTCAACCACTGGGTTCCGGGGCCGGGTCCAACATGGGTGATGGGGGTGGGATCGAATCAAGCCTTTGTTGACATTCCATCCTGGGGAGATTCAGAAAAACACTGCCATCAAGGCCGTGCCACTGGGAGTTGTTTTGGAACAAAGCAGCCTTGAATTTCCTGTTGCTTTTAAAATATCTTAACTGCATCTCTGAAGTGGCAAAATAAATAAATAAAATAAACAATCAGCCGAATTTGGGGTCTCACCATCTGAAGTTTCACCCAGGCTCGCTCCTGAGCTGCAATCCTCATCAGAATCTCATCCAGATTGCGAAATTATTTCTCCCAGTTGCAGAGTCTGTGTGCTACCAGCCTGGCAAAATCCTTCAAGTGTGCCTGACAGCTTCTCAAAGGCCCGAACCACTGTTAGGGTAGCTTTCACTTTTTGATAAATGTGGAACCCTTCTCCGCCAATCAGCAGGAATCCAGTTATCATAAATCCAAATATATATAGATCTTCCACGTCTTCGATGGAAAGTGGTGCCGGCATATCAAATTCCAGCCCCCGGTATCACTGACACATCCAGCAGCAACTGTTCCACCCCAGACAGTTACGTTCCCCCCTTTTTACGTTCACAAAAAATTGTGTCAATTGCATTCAGAGACCAGTTGACCAAATCCATAATTCCTTTAGTTTCGGATGGCAAGTGAAAAAAAGCTTGAAGAAGCAAAAACCCGCAAAGCGGGGGGTGGGGGGGGGGGGGGGGCAAAAGCACATCCTGCACCTCTGAAGGCCAAGCAGAATATGAGAAATACAAATACTTCTTAAGTAAAGTTGGTCATGTTTATTGATTTATTATTTATGATTAAGCTAACAGCAAGTGCAGTTGCCCACATTCTATTGTTTATAAGTTTTTTTTTCAGCCAATGAACATGGAAAATTTTCAATGTATTCTCCGGCAGTATATGTGGTCTTATAAGGTTTGCAAATCCAGACATGGGCTAAAATCTAATCTAAATGTCTCTTGTAGTTACTTGTATTTTATATTTAATCTTAACATAATTCAAAGATAAAGTGAGTACCATGAGTTAAGACTATCTGACTACAGATCCTTGTACGTATAATTGGACCAATGGTCGAAAAGACTAAGTGGAAATATAGTATTTCTACATAAGACAGAAGATTACAATCTAGTAACCAGGACAACTGCTGGTGGGCCAAATCAAATGGCTTGGCAGGCCAATTTTGGCCCCCACTTTGGGCACCTCTGTTCTGTCATTCCCTTATCAAGAACATACCCAGAGTGTTGCTTTGACTCATTCATGCATGTTGGACAAATCCTTGAATCTCCTATGGTAGCCACCTAAACGTTTGCTGGTACAAAGTTCCACCTATTCATACAAAGCTCCTCCCTGGAGCCCACAGACCACCACTCGAGGCAGCTGGGGATAAGTAGTTAAGAGAGTCATTGCTCTAATATGAGAGTTGGTGGTTTGATTCCACCACTATTCAGGCTAAGCAGTCAAAGTGTACCTGGGCAAGACACTGAACCCCCACTGCCTCTGGTGTGTGTCCCATCAGTGTATGAATACGGTTTAAAGCACTGATTAGTCTGTATTGGATGATTTGTACAAGTTAACTTTGTAGAGAGATGTTGTAGAGTGCTGAATGAATGTGTGTGTGAATGGGTAAATGAGGACACAGATTGTAAAGAGCTTTGAGTATCCTGATTGGTAAGTACAGTCCATTTTCCATTTATCCCTCTCCTCCAAAGCATTGTTTGAAAACATGCTGAAGTGGGAATGTCAAAAACTGTAGGAGGTTCTTAAAGGGATCCATGATTAGTTGTAACATTAGACTTTATTTGATAAACATATATTTTAACTGTAAAATAAAGAATGTAAAAATACTGTAGGCTGTTTAGTTTTTATAATAAATGGACTGTACTTATATAGTGCTTTTCTATCCATCCAGGACACTCAAAGCTCATCACACTACAATCTCTGTCCTCATTTACACATTCACACAGCACTCTACTAGATCTCCTACAAAGCTAACATATACAATCATCTGTGGAGACTAATCAGTGCCAATCACATTCATACACTGATTCATGCACATCAGAGGCATTAGGGGTGAAGCGTCTTGCCCAAGGACACAACAACTGAGACAGCTGGATGGGGGATCGAGCCGGCGACCTTCTTGTTCCAGGACGACTCCCCTAATCACTCTGCCACAGCCATCCCACATACTTATCAGGCTGTTATGTATAGTTTCATGAAACTTTGCAAATCACTTTATTTTGTTTGATTCATGCAGCTCCCATTGGAGACAAAACACGAAAACACAAACTGCTAAAATCTCAGTCGAGGAAAGTGGTGTTGGTGAGTCACTTTCTTTTTGTGTGTGTGTTCCTAGCATTAAGAATTTGCTTTTGGTTCATCCTCTTGACTTTTGAGTACTTACTTCATTTCTGATATTTATAAGTCATTTATACAGGATGGGCCATTTATATGGATACACCTAATAAAATGGGAATGGTTGGTGGTATTAACCCTACTGTTTGTCGCACATTAGTATTTGGGAGGGTGGAAACATTTCAAGATGGGTGGTGAACATGGTGGCCATTTTGAAGTCGGCCATTTTAGATCCAACTTTAGTTTTTACAATGGGACGAGGGTCATGTAACACATCGAACGTTTTGAGAATTTCACAATAAAAAACAATGGTATGCTTGGTTTTAATGTAACTTTATTCTTTCATGAGTTATTTACAACTATTGACATGTCGCAGAGGTTAACATGTGAGGAGCAGATAGAAATTGTGCTGATGTCTGGTGAACACAGTACCCGGGTCATTGCAGCAGATTTCAATGCAAGATACCCTACAAGACCGCCCATCTCCCATGCTACAGTTATCAAACTGCTTGACAGGTTTTGTGAAACTTGTTCCGTGTTGGATTTGCCTAAATGTCGACGCATGAAACTGTCACTAATGAAGAAACATAAGTGGCTGTCCTAGCTTCATTCAGCAAGAGCCCACAGTGTAGCATGTCACTGGAGAGTGGCATCAGTCAAACATCCCTTCGGCGGATATTAGCGACTCACAAATGGTACCCTTACAAAAGCCAGCTGCTGCAGCATCTCAATGAGGATGACCCAGACCCTGAATTTTCAGAATGGGCAAAACAAAAATTGAAAGAGGACCTTCAGTTTACACCGAACATTTTGTTCAGTGATGAGACAAAAAACCATTGGTCTGACACTAACTCACATTGGATAGATCCCTCCAAGACTGTTGGAACACAAAAATTTACGGTGTGGTGTGGTCTATGACAGAGATTATTAACCTATGAGCTGCGAGCGCCACCTTGAGGGCTTCAAAAGAACAACAGTTTTAAATTTTGGGCTGGGACCACATTGACTTTGAATAAGGTGCAATTCACTTTCTCACCACTAGTAGCAGTAGTGCACCACTCAGATGGTTAACAACTTTTTTTAATGTAGAAGAAGAACCTTAGAAACCTGCTGAGAATGGAAATTTATTTTAAATGAAAAATAGAAGCATAAATAAAGGTAACTCATCAAAAAATGCCAAAGTTTTTCACTAATATGAAGAGCAGCTTCTGTTTTTACCATGTAATATTTTA